ACTACTACTACTACTACTAGTATCACTACTACTACTCGCAAAAATAGTATTGCTAATCAAAGTAATAATAACAGTATTACATAAGTACTGACAACAAAATCATCACCACCATAGGTTCATTGGGCCAAAAGCATCAGAATCGCAATATTCATACCAACAATAGCAACCGCAACACTGGCAACAACAATAACAAAAGCCAAAAGCATAACAATAATCACAAATGGCAGTGGTAATGATAATGATAAAAATACTCCTGCTACTACTAATGTTAATACTGAAACTTATATTGATACTCAAACTAGTACTAACACAAATACCAATGTTGATACTGATGAGAAATCTAACACGAACAATAGTAGATACTAGTTCGAATACTAATTGAAAGACGAAGACGAAGACTGAGGGCTGAGACGAAGGCGATTGATAAGACTACGACTAAGGTACGTACTAGTACTAGTACTAATGCTAATACGAATATTAATACTAATACGATCAATGGCAGCCATAATAACAGCAATTATAATAGGATCGGTAAGAACATAGTAGCAATAAGAACAATACTAACCACAACCAAATAAATAGGCCTGAACTCTGACCTTGCTGTCGCTGTTGTCACACCAGAATTACGCAGACTCGTCAGCAAGGCGGACAACACCTCTCGTCATAGGTGTCGCCGACAAGAATGGGTGTCTTCAACATCTGTTGACAGTTAAGACTGCGTCATCGTACAGTCGCGAATACAGACCAAACTATAGGCTGCCTGGTCGCCTGAGCTGTAGGCCACCACACCTATGCGGAACCCTCTGAACCGAACCTTCAAAGCCTGCAATCCAAAATCCGATGCCTTCAACGAAGTCCTGAATCCCAAACCCCGAACCCGACACCACGCGGAGCCTCTGAAGCCCAAAGTCCCGTGGAATCGTGGAAGGTCTGATTCTCGCATAGACTATTAGTAATCATGCCAGTATCAAATACTAGTATGCATACTAGTGTTCATATTTAGCCTTCATACTAGTATTAATATCAGTGTTAGCAACAGCATGAGTATTAATGTCATGGTTCTTCTTTTTTGCTTTGACTGCAAGGTGCACTTCGGCAGCATGTTATTCTTCAAATTAGCCGGCCCGTATGACTGGGTCTGATTTTTTCAAGATCTTCTTAGATTGTTGAGGGTGCGGTATCAACACGTCCTACCTTTCCCCCATGATGGCATGAGCTAAACTGTACCCAGGCATCGGAAGCTTTATGCCGAACTGGTCGACGAGTATCGGAAGCGCTTGCCTCGCTTGTCTGCCACTGTTTGCCAGGACAGTGGTGATCCCCCATCAATCATAAGAATAACACTGAAGATACTACTCATACTTAATAGCTTTTATGATAATGGTAGCAAGAATAGTTGGTTGCAGCAGTAATAACAATACTCATAATTCAATGTTCGTAACAGTAATATAAGTAGCAACGGCTACCCCAACCGAAACTTCAAGTTGAGAGATCACCAACATCGTCTCTGTCAGGGTTTGGCGTTCTGATGGTGTGGCCGTATGATTTTGGATTCATGGTTTATTTAGGCTTTATATAGAGGGTTTGTTTAGGGTTTATTTAAGGTTTATTTCGGGTTTATGTAGGCTTTGGGGGCCCTATGTGTCGGAGGTATCGGGTTGCTCATCAGTCATGGCTCTGGTGTTGAGAGCCGGCACAAGATCCCCACTGCACACTGGCCCTGAAGCCGGTGCCGCCGCGCTGAATTCAACTCGGAGTTGTGCACATGCCCTGCCAATGAAAGCTCTGCCCCCGAACTAAAGCTGGAAGCTTCCATGGATGTTACTTTCAGGCTCGCGGAGCTATGCGTTTTCCAGGTTCAGAGAAAGCAAGGTCTGTGGTTTTGGTTAAAGTGCAAACCTCAGCAGAAGCTGCTGGTAGCAGTCAGCTGCCCCAATGCCCGCCTCAGGGAAACGGACGTGAAGGCCGTGGATCCGAAGCTCTGCAATCCGTTGCTACCTCCTCAGCCTTGTGCTGTTCTTCTCGCTGCGGTGATGGATGCCCAGGTAAGCACATGTCGAATTCCTATGCTTTGGTTTTCTAAACCCTAAAACCCCAAACCCTAAACCGCTGCTGCGGCTGATGCTCGACCTCTGCAACTCGTGGTTGATGGCGGCTTGCGCGTGGTGCTGCTAAAAGCGTGTGTGTCGTTCTTTGGGGTTCAGGGTTTAGAGTTTATGCTTTTGATGCCGGCTGATGAACAGAGGCAACAGTTAGCAAAGACTGATGATGATGACGATGATGAGGATGGCGGTGTGGTCAGCTGTGCTTATCGGTACTATCGGTGTTCATGTTGTGGTACTGTGCCAGTCTATACCGCTTGGCGACTCATCCGTCTCAATGAGGTTCCTCAAGCACGCTCTCGAAGCTTCGTGAGTTCAATCCCTGGGTGAGGCCTGCATTCTTGTGCCCTGGAGTCCTACTGCTGTCTCAGGTCTCGGAACGTGGACAATCCGTACCTGAAGATTCAGGCCATTTCTTTAGGGTTTAGGGCTTAGGGCTTTGGGGCTTTAGGGTTTGGGGTTTAGGGTTCGCACCTTTGAAGAGATTAAAATCAGAAGCTCTTAGACCTGGCCTGCTGATTCTGTTAGCTTACCCCGAAAATGAAAAGAAGCAACCCAGCCTCAGATGGAACGGCATTCTGACTCGAAACCTGCACGACTAGCTTGGCATAAGACCTTGCCTTAAACCCGAATAACCTACCCTTTAAGGACTTATATACAAAAAACATGATAAGGATCCCTAAAGAGGTAGGTTTTTATAGGGTCCAGGTAGCATTTCCAGCGGTGCTGGCTGTCAGGCGACCAGGCTACTAGACTTGGTCGTTCCACTTCGGGGATGCTAAGCTTGGTTCCTAGATGTCAGGTTGGAGCACAAGTTTAGTGTAACTTAGTATAGCAGAGTATATCATAGTAGTATTCTGTCAAAGTATACTTATAGCAAATTGTAGTATAGGATTATCATATAGTACTGTATATTGAAACCGATTTCGCATATTCCGGATCGCGGACCACTTGAACAGCTTAAGAATCCCAAGCGAAGCAATCCAACAGATTCAAAAGGATGGCGCAATCCCACCAGAAAGCCAAAAGCATTGCCAAAACCGCTCCAAGCAGTTCTAAACCATCCGCAGAACCTCCCAAAAGCGCCAGATGCTTTCCAAAACCATCATATAGTTCAAGCGAGTCACAAGCGTGCTAAACCATATTCACGATCGCCGCAGCATCGCAGGATTCTAGAACACTACAACAGATACAGGTATAGAAAGTTCCACCAGCTTTCCAAACAGACACACATACACACAAGCAGCTCTTGCAGAACAACGAGCTTTCAATTATCAAACGCTGCAAAACTCAGGAGTCAGAGCACTCCAAAATCTCAAGAGGAGTGGCCAAGTTCTCTACGGCCCGCCCTCACATTCCCCATGCTTTCGGGGGAGGACTTCTTGGATCCGTTGGAAGCCACGCCGAATCAGCCGCTTGCGATCAAAACCTACTGGCGAATCGAAACCGACCCTTTGAAAGTGGTTTATGACTCTTTGCGAATATCAGTTTAGGGTTGAGGGCTGAGGGTTTAGGCTTTAGAGCTTGGGGCTTAGGGTTTGGGGTTTAGGGCTTTGGGCTTCGGGTTTAGGGTTTAGTTAGAGTCTATTACCGCACGTTAAAGGTGTATGTCTCATGAACTGGCACAAAATCCTACTAAACCCTAAACCGTAAACCCTAAACCCTAAACCCCAAACCCTACTCCAAGGTTTAGCGCCCCTGGTTTGCGAACTCGGCATGTTCTCTACGAGCGGAGGTGAACGAGGAGCTCCTAAAGGAGATCTGGAAAGATGTCGAGCGAACATTTCCAGAATCTTGGCAACTCCAAAGGGCAAGAAATATGTAAATGTATAAAACATGTATATGTTTAATATATGTATAAGATACATATATATATATATGTATACCTGAATAACTGAATAAACAAAGAATAAACAAATAAATAAATCGACAAAGAGATAAATAAACAGTATGTATATATATATATATATATTTATGTATATATATATATATACATATATGCATGTATAGATTGTGTAGTACTATGATTACTGTTATTGTTATCAGTATTATTCCTGGTATTTTTTTTTTATTCCAATCGTTTAGTAATCTCCTCTCAGCCACCCCCCAATGCCCTTTCAAGCCTCCAGTAATGCACCCGTCGAGCGCTATTGTAGCATCCATAAAGAGCGTCCCTGAAGCAAGTCGGGCGTCGGTTTTCAAGAGCCAAAGTATTTACGGCGGTTTAGGGTTTAGGGTAGCTACAAGTAGTTAAAACCAGAGTTACCCTTGTTTATAGTTTATAGCATTCCATTATAGCCCCGGGAATGAACTCCTGCCACCGTTTCAATAAAAACTGAGGGTTGAGCCCAGTTGGGGAAGGTGCTCGGGCAGTTGGAGAACGCAAAAAGGTCTTTCTGACGCTTGTGCGCGACGAGAGATAGACTTGGGTTTGCGTGTATCAATTGGCAGTCATGTTGGTAGTTCTCTAAATTAGGGTCCCTTGTGAGGTCCTTCATATCAAGGTGCCGTACTATATGGGGGACCCAGAAAGGCATCCGAATTTAGAGAACTACACATGTGTCCCCAGTCCCCCCAGAGCTTGTTCGAATCAGTATGGTTTTCGCACAGATGAATGAAGGGGGAGGTGCTACTTGTCCGACGGGTTTATAGCACTCGTCGTGGTTTGGGTGTAGGTTGCAAAGAAGCTTTTTTGTAAAGAAAGACCCGAAACCCTAAACCCTAAACCTCAAAAAAGAGAACCTAAACCCTAAACGATTCTGGTTTAAGGTTTGATGTCTGGGCCCCAGCAGGCCCACAAGCCTGGAGGCACAGCTCCTGTGCCCTTGGCTTGTGTTTGCTCCAGGGCACGATTACGATCCTACACGAAACCCCGAATTCTCAACCCCAAACCACAGACATCCTAAGCCATAAACGCCCTAAACACCGAACCCCCGAAGCCCCAAAGCCCAAGCCTTCAAACCCTAAACCCCCAGGCCCTAAACCCTAAGCACTGCCTGATCTGCTCAGGAGTGCCAATTCTTGTCCAGTCCGGAGAGCAGGAAGGCTGGGCAAGCCCCCATAAAGTCGCTTTAAGCAAACTATATTTAGGGCTTTTGGGGTTTAGGGTTTAGGGACTTTTAGTAGTTTCGGGTTTAGGGTGACCCCTAGTTTGAATACACAGCAAAAACCCAGCTAGGATCATACTTTGGCATGGTTTTTTTGGCAGCTTTCAACCGGCAGCCCTCACTGAGGCCCGAAGCCAGCTAGGTTTTTGGAGTGGTGCCCAGCGTGCCATCAGATCCCAATAGATCCGATCTCTATCGTTTGGGCAGGTCCTGCAGCGGATACTGTTTCACTGGCACACTGCCTCAGATTTTTGTCGGTGATCTTTTGGCTGTATATGTGTGCGTCTACCCGACACCCTGAACCCTAAACCGTTGATTGAGCCAGTTTCCTTGGGTAGCCAGGATTTTGCGTGGGGTCGCAGGTTTCATGCCCGAAACCCCGAGAAACTTCAGTCGCGGATCCCATAGTACGTTATGGTTGGGTTCAAGGGTTTAGGGTGTTCGGGTTTTCGGGTTTGGGGTCTAAGGATTTAGGGCGCTGGCTATTTCGTACCAGGTTATGTTATGGCACACTCTAGTATACTATCGTATAGTACATTGTAGTCTGCTATTTTGCACAAGATCGAGCTTTAGTTATAGTACACTCTAGTATATTAAAGTATCCCAGTATATCATATGGTCTCTCGGCTCTGAGTCGGCAGAAGAATCCGAAGAATCCCTCTAAGTGGATCTGTCAGGGCGAAACAAGTTGTTCCCGCAGTACATCTTTGGGTATGTAGAAGTGTCTTGTGTCTTATGCAATATAGAATACTTAGTATAGAGTGTGTATAGTGTAACAGTGTAGAAGTTGGAACTACCCCGACAAGTCTTCATCTTGCCTATACACGGCCAAGCTTGCAATCCCCCGAGCACGCAGGATAACACCCCCCATAACACTCCGAAAGAAGTTCTCTTCAACGGGATCATCTGAAGGTTTAGCGTGTGCTGGCGTTGTCCGGTGCGGTCTGCCGGGCTGAGGTGTAGATCCAGGAACCCCTCGATGACGCCCTCGGAGAGCTATCGGCAGGGCCCTGGCCCTAACAACGCAGACGAGGGAACTCAAGAACTAGGATATGTAGAACCCCTAAACCCTAAACCCTAATGTAGAACCCCTAAACCCTAAACCCTAATGTAGAACCCCTAACCCCTAAACCCTAAACCCAATGTCTTTTCTGATGAAACCCCTGCCTGGATGCACTTTGAGCCAGAAGCTGTCTTGAAAGCTGATCTACGATTGTGTTGACAGATACTATCGGGACCCTTAATCATTACCTATAGTATTTCGAGGGTTCCTTATTATGACTGTAGTATAATATACCCGAACACCCTATTCTACACTAACTATGAAGGCCCCTACATTACCCTCCTTCGACGAACGTGTAGTCGACTAGGTTTATGTAGCCCGAGATGCGAGCTCGGAAATGAGGACTGCAAGGGACCAAATCACGTCATCGACATTGCCTTTTTTTTGGGGATTCTACTGAGCCAGTGGCGCAGAGTGGGCATGTAAGCTCTTGCCCAACAGTGAGCACACCCTTCTCCAAACCCCAAACTATTTTTCGTCCGGCAAGCCGAACGGCTGAACACACCAAACCCAAAGGGATAGGGGTTTAAAAAAATTAAATCAGGATCAAAAAAAAATTAAATCAGGATCCAAAAAAATTAAATCAGGATCAAAAAAAAATTAAACGATAAAAATACAATAGGAGCTAGGGAAGGAAGGAAGGAGGTAGGGAGGGAGGGAGGGAAGGAAGGAAGGAAGGAAGCAGGGAAGGAAGGAAGGAAG